CTCATATAATTCATTGCATGTACAGAAATGAAAAGTATTTCACTTAAAATAAAATTGATAATGTTCAAAAGCCACTTATTTATGTTTTAAAGAAGTCTTAACTTGATAACATGTGTAATAGTATCTACCAATATCTTCCAGCAAACGTGATGTTTAATTATAAATCATTATGTGCATTTCCATTAAAATCAGGGAAAAAGCATTCAGGCCAGCTCTCACTACCCAGCATACTACTGTTCTTAATAACAAAGCACTTGTAACATAAGTCACAAAAGATAAAACATATGTGTTCAAGACTGCAGTGGAATGCCTCTAGAGTTCTTCTATCCACATCTGCATATTTGCTAAAATATTAATTAAAAATTGCCAAAGGTGGTACATCTAACAAGTACAAATAAATTTCAGTGGAAAACATGGCTGAATACCTTGTGTGTGTGCTCAGCATCATAGAAGTTACTAAGAGTTGGAGGATTAGAGAAGAAGGCTTCTTTGTCTTTTGTTTGTCCTTCATATTAATTTGTCTTTACAATTACTGTTGAGTTCCTAAAATGTCTTAAATATTGTTGGAAGTTTCTGGAGTTGGGGAAGTAAAAGGAGAACTTGGTTCACTCAAGAAATACATCATCTTGTCGGGATCAGACAGCCTTAGTACACTATGAGCAGAGCCATGACCGCAGTGTAATAGTGTGGGAAGAGTCAGGCAGGCGTAAACACAGATGAATCAAGGGCATCCGGGAGGATTTTTCAGAGGAGGTGATGTCTAAGAACAAGAACTACTAATAGACAATTTGGAGGTTGAATATTTGCCTTGCTATGATGTTGTAGACTACAGAGATGATATACACAAAAAGACTGAAAGAATAATTGGCACTGGAAGCATTCAACAAATGGTTCCCATTACTTTTATTACTATATAGTCTTTAATTTGATGAAGAAATGAAGTTAGGACCTTTTAGAAACAGACCTTGTGTTTGCAAAGCAAAGAGGTCATGTGAGAATGCTATGTGTTTGTGGAAGTGCAAGCACTTCGGCATGACCAGAGATCAGGTTACCTGTTAATAAGACTGAAAAGAGATTAAGTTAGTGAGAAGGCTAATGCCTAGATGAAGGAATGCCTGTGTGTCATGCTATGGAACTCTATTCTAAAGAAAATTGCAGACATTATTAATAGCATATGTTAAGGCCTCATTATGTTGATTGGTATATAAATAGTACTATGTTTCCCTGGCAGCTCAGATGGTAAAGAATCTGCCTGCAATGCAGGAGACCTGGGTTTGATCCCTGGGTCAGGAAGATCCCCTGGAGAAGAGAATGGCTTTCCTTCTCCTTCAGTATTCTTTCCTGGAGTATTCCATGGACAGAGGAGCCTGGCGGGCTACAGTTCACAGGGTCACAAAGATTTGACTGAGTAACTGACACTGTCACTTTTACTTTTCACAGCAGCATTGCTGCCTTTTAAGAACCTAAGTTAGCCAAATAATTTTATCTTTTACTCTGCATAAGTGTTTAAGTTATGGCCCAAGCTAAATAGTATTACTGAGTTTTTACTATGTTTAGCCCCATATTAAATCTTAGGTGTATAACCTGGAAATAGTACAGTTAGATAATGTGAAAATATTTATTAAATCTTAAACAAATATTTAAAATGTTTTTTTAAATTAATAATTTAGAATCTGAATATAATTTGTATTATCTACTATTTTGAAAATATGTGGTTTCTGAGTTTTTTAGATAAAGTAATGAAAAATGTTATATAGTAAAGCGTTAATTAACTTTGTTTCAGATTTCCAGAAACTTCCAAGTTTGGGCATGAAACTGTCTTTGGGTGGAGAGCCTCAAAATTGCTGAAATCTGTTACCAGGCTAGAGAAAAAAATTAGTCAGTTCAGTTCAGTCGCTCAATTGCATTCCACTCTTTGCGACCCTATGAATCGCAGCACCCTAGGCCTCCCTGTCCATCACCAACTCCCGGAGTTTACTCAAACTCATGTCCATCGAGTCAGTGATGCCATCCAGCCATCTCATCCTCTGTCATCCCCTTCTCCTCCTGCCCCCAATCCCTCCCAGCATCAGGGTCTTTTCCAATGAGTCAACTCTTTGCATGAGGTGGCCAAAGTATTGGAGTTTCAGCTTCAGCATCAGTCCTTCCAATGAACAC